CATCATGGACTATCCTTCAGCTTTGTGCAGCACCTCGATGCCAGTACATCCGCGTCTCCTATTTCCCCCAACATCGCTGATCTGTCTCGAGCCGCTGACTGAACTCAACCAGACTAGAGGACAGGCACAAGACTGAAGACCCCCAAGACCTTGATCAGTGCCACGTCTCCAACGGCGTTGGCGCCCTGGACCTCGTTACCGTGACAGCCGTCAAAACCCGTCGTCTCCTCCATATGCCAGCCGCCACTGCCACTGTCTTCGGGTTCAACCTCAATCGAAGCTACCGCCACGTACTAATCTCTCTTGAAGCAACCGTCATTTGCCATCAAACCCGGCGAAGCTTGTCTTGACCGTCGTCTAGTTGATCTCCGAAGCCTGGCTGGCTATAGCACACGGGAGACTGTCACCTCCGCGCTGGGACGCATCAATACCTGGTATCAGCTTGCTGCCAGTTTGAAAAGAGAACGTCTTCAACATGGTTAGAAACATCAAGTCGGTCGCCCGCAAGCTGGAAGCTTCGCTACCGAGTCCCATCTGGATCGTTTGTCGGCAACAACTCAACCGTGTTGATCCTTCTACCTCGACCACTAGCCTTGTGCGATTTCAGACGACATTCGCTCTCGCAGGTAGACTCTAGGAATGGTTGATGAAGGGTTTGCTATTCATGTTCCCTTGGAAGGCCGTGGTCAGAAATACTACTTCTCACGCACTTACAACGCCTACCAGGCGCTTACGAAACCATTTGGACTTGACAGAACTGGCTGGCGCAGCTGTGCGCTGGTGTTCTTAGACAACTTCTGACCAGGAAAAAGTGGAAGATCACTGCAGCTTCGATCGTATCCCTACCGCCGGTGACCAGATCTCGTTCCATCACAAGTCCAGTTCTTGGTCCTTCGCGCGTCGTGAAGCTCTCGCTGCAACTCCACCGGCTCAGGCCCGATATGGAGACGGAAGGTTTGAGTATTTCGTCAGCATGTTATGGGTTTGTCAAATTGGGCTACAATGTTTTCCTGCTCAAGGTCTTCCCACTTGACTGACAGAATGTCTTAGACCGCGCTGGGCTCAAGTCTCAGAACCCCCGAAACTTGGACTGAATACTGTTGAAACCGCAACATTCACCGAAAAGCCCCTGCGCTTGAAGAAAAAGGCTAGCGACCTGGACTAGCATCGGAATTGCTAGGAGCACCTTTCACCACGCTGCTTAATATCTACATGATGCAGTGGACTCTTTGCCGGTCTTCGACTTTACATTTGCAACGACCTGGTGGAGACTGGAGGCGTGCTTTTTTGGGAGCGGATTATTGTTGCTCCAACAAAGTCGGGCCAGTTCTTTGCGGCTGTCCTAGCACGAAGTTCTGGTATCACATTTTCTTTAGCTATAAGAGTTAAGAATCTCGATAAGGGGGTGTCCATTGCCCTGCCGTGGTTGTGGTTCGTCTCGAGATGTCGACTGTGTCCAACCAGGCACGTTGATCCTCTACACGCGATTGATAGTTCGTGAAAGCTCTGTCGATGTTTCTCGAAGTAGCTGCTCCAGTCACCTGCCATCATCCATTCCCTTCTTCAATACATAGTCATGTTCGCGGAATTGACAGTGTCAACCAGTCGATATCAGCATTCTCTCGGTGCTGGATGAATGTTTTACGCCAGCCCTGTGCCTGTGAGACAAATACAACAACCCTCGACCCATCAAGGCTATTCACATGTGATGGATACCTTATTCAGGCATCTTATGTCTTCACTTTTCGCTTCTCCGTGGGATATGCGACAGACACCCACGAGCGACCTCTTTGGGATCATGTCCGTTAGTCATGTTCCACGGCTATCCGTCTCATCATGAACCTTTGAAATCATTCTTCTCAACGCTACTCCTGTGGCATCTAGACGAGCTCCAAACTTGGACTGATGAGCTTCACTGGCCTTTGAGGGGCATATTGTCTCGAGACCTGAGCAACATGATCACACATATAGCATTGGGTCCGGAACTCCATACTGCTTGATCATGTTGACATCCGCAAACAGCTCCCGAGTCTTGAAGGTCATTTTCCTTCTTCCCCGAGCCGTCGGCGCCCAAGAGGGTCTATCAAAGCATCGGGCTGTAACATCCAAGAAATGCACAAAAACCCACGATGCCTACATGTCTTCTAAACTACGTATTCGGAAGAAAAGGGGTATGCTTCAGGTTACCAGGGCCCTGAGAAACATCATCACCAATACGACACATACGAGACCCCTTCCCATACTACCGGCGGCTGCCTGCCAAGAGAGGGGTCTGAGACGCCGCGTTGCTTTTGGCATCTCAACGACGCCCAACATGGCCAAACCCTCAACATCCAGCGAGACAACCAGTCTCACCTTCCCCGTCTGTCATCATTCCGCTTCTCGCACGTCTGCTTCAGTTGCTAGTATCCGAATTCCCATCCGGCTCGGTCTGAATCTGATGAAACAAACCCCCGAGAGGGGGCTCCAAGCTGTTATGACTACAGTTATGACGACGATGCTCATCGGCAAACGCCGGCAATGCCTCATCACGCACTCGTCCTCGTCCTCTCGCTCAGGCGGCGCCGAGCGGCCTTCAGACGCACTTTGGACAAGCTGTCTGTCCCGTTATATGCCACATTCATCATGTCTCACCAGACACGCGGCTTCACCCTCTAGGAGAGTACGGAATCCTGTGAAAGTACTACCACCGGTGAATCGAACTGTATGCTGACCATGGGTTCTCGATTGCAGACACACCCGCATCAAGGCCTTACATCACCGACTTCCCAAGACATCCCGCACCTGGACGCCGAGAGTGAATTCAAAAAAACACATACTCCATGGCCTATTCTCCGAGATGTCTCGGCGAGGGCGACGCTGAGGTGACACCTGCATCGTTCTTAAATGCCCGTCCACATACTCAAGAAGGCAGACTTGCCGCCTCAAACAAAAGCCTCCCGAAAAAATGAGGGCATATCGAAAAACAAGCTGGGACAGAGTGCCATCCCATTTCAAAAACAAGTGGTGCCAAGACAAACAGAGAGAGAGAGAGGACTCTAGCACACAAACCGGTCCTCCGGCCTTTATTTTCTTTTCCATATCAAAGTCTATCCGTATCGCAATGACACATACAGTGGGGAGGAGAAAGCCGATGTCCGGGCTGCTGGCACCCAGACCCAGACCCAAGACACCATACACCATGCTTCCTTTCTTTTCTTCCCCGTCTCCAGTCTTTTTCTTTTCCACGAACCGTTCTTATTTCGCCATTCTTCTCGTGGCGTCTACCTTAGTTTAAAGACGGGTACAAAAAGGAAACCCGAGATCGGAACTCGCCCCCAGACCCAAAAGCTTTCTTTTCGCGGTTGTCATCGAGTATGGTGGTTCACCAAACAATCGGATCTCCTCGCAGAAACCTACCTAGCCTTTCTTTCTTGCCTCAAACCCCACCGGCCCGTCAGCCCGTCCCGTTGGCCGCCCGATTCACACGATTCATCGAATACATACTATAGGCAGGGCGACGCAAAAGAAACTGCTCCCGCGAGCCACACAGCCCTCTCTCGAGCTTGCTCGGCTCTCCCTTCCCGACTGATGCGACGCCGTCAACGATATGCCCGAGTCAAGCATACACGGGCACACCAAGTCTTGACTATGATGCATCACATCTCGGTGACTTACCACGATCGAAATCAGAGCCGCTACGGCGGAAGACCGAGGCAGAAAGAAATGAACTTGGCCAGAAAGAAGACTAAAACAAAACCGCCACGTCTATAGCCACCCAACCAACCTCTCAGCCTCCCGCGAAACTCCTAGCCAGGATAGAGAGAGACCTGAGTTTGTGACAACTCATACTCGGGCTGTGTCATACAGACGAGAGCATCTCTTCGATGACGGGGTGACGTTGGGAGGAGGTTTCGCGGAACGCCGTTTTCCCGGGACGGTGGCGAGATAGGGAAAAGGAAAGCTCATAGCCGCATCTAGCCCGACATCTCGACGAAGAGTACACACACACGCACACACCCTCGGCTCGCGATGCCTCTCCCTGCCTACCTTACAAACCTTTAAGCTTATCCCGCCATAGGGCTTGATATCCTTCCTCAGCCGTGGACGGCCCGCTCCGTCGGCACCAACCTCTTTTCTCCCGCTGTCTGAACTCTCTTCTTCTCCCGCGTCCTTGTACAGTCCCACTCGAAGGCATTGGTTTATCACCTTTTTACCAATGATAGCCGTCGTTACAATGATATTACAGACGGACGGAACATGCGGTCTCCCCAAAAGCCTCATGATTATTCGACAAAATTAGAGACGAGAGAAGTCTAAGATGTCTTCGACCACCTGCGCCGGAGTCGACGCCGAGACACAGGCGATCGCGGACGAACCTCATAGGAGATACATACATATGCAATTAGGCTCCGCCCGGTAAATGGGTAGATAGATCACCGACTCAGATGCGTTGTGCTGTTCCTTGTTTCGCCGAGGTAAGTCAAGACACGATGCCATTCACCGGTCCGTCGGGCTCTCCTCCGCCACCTATCCGAAGGAAGAGAGTATTGGATGTAACAGATTCCAACCGCTCTCAACTACCCCTCCGTCTCTGCGATGGCTTGTAAACGAGTCCTCCAATCGGACTGCCACAGAACCCCAAGCCACGATGCATCCGGGATCACGAGACCCTCATCGGTGATGAACAAGCAAGTATCCCGCGCGGCAGGACCGGTCCGAGACGTGGCGGGTGGATGCAGGGTGTGCATATCAAGTAAATTTCACGATCCCAAAAAGAAATGTGTCCTCAGATATCATTCTGACAATCTCATTCAATCTTACACTCGTGAACCGATACAACCAGTTCCAACCCAAAGAAACCCGCGTACCCGGTAGCTTTTATCCAACATCTGTGGGCCGAGACCCTGCCCAGCGGCGAGACATGCAAACTGCCTAGTTGATCCAATTGCCTGTCGATTAGATAGATAGCGTAAGATCGGTTGGAAACATCACGCATATTCTCATGAAAGATGCGCAGTTTACAACTTGGAAGCGGGGCGGGCGTTGCCCACGGCCGTGATCTCGTCGTACAGCAGCCTGTCACGTCGTTAGCACATGCAATCACCGAGACGAGTAATGCCCGAAGGCCGCAGCCACAACACCGAAGTGATCGATGAAAAGCAACATATGAAGGAGGCGAGTGAGGAGAGAGAGTGTCAATTGTTTGGTGCCGGGAAAGGGGCGGGTGGCTTACGTGGTGAGGAAGTCGGCATAGTCCTCGCCAGTGACTTGACCTGAGAAGTACTGGGCGGCGAGGTGGTACTTGTTACCCTTGGGCGCCTTGCTGGCGAGCTCGTCGGCGGACTCCTTGAGGAGCTTGAGGGCGTAAGCCTTGTCGACCTTCTTGCCAGTGTCCGTGGAAACGCCGTGCTTGACCCATTGCCAGAGCTGGGAGCGGGAGACCTCTGCAGTGGCGGCATCCTCCCTGATCAACTGTAAGCTACTGTCCTTCTCACATACTGTACGTCAACACTTACATGAGGTAGTTGATGGGAACGCAGCCGACGCCGCGGATCCAGGCCTCCATGTAGCCGAGGCCGATGTTGAGGTTCTTCTTGATGCCTTCTTCGGTGATCTTGCCAGGGACGTTCATGTTCAGGAGGTCATTCTGGCCGATCTTGACGTCCTCACGGCGGATAAAGAGCTGGTTGGGCGTGGGCATTTGCTTGTTGAAGATCTCAGAGGCAATGGCGGCGAGGGCAGGGTGAGCGACCCAGGTTCTGTGATGTTGTGTTAGTGGCTAATGACAGGACAGGGCGGAAAGTTTCGGGGGACGAACCCATCGTGGCCGGCACGCGCTTCGCGCAGCTTGTCGGCGCGCACTCCCTCCATGGCCTTGTCGTTGGCGGCCTTGTCGTCCTTGATGGGAATCTGGGCCGCCATGCCGCCCATGGCGTGAACGCCTCGCTTGTGGCACGTCTGGATGAGGAGCTTGACCTATTCCTGGGGGTTAGTGTTCTGCGTGCCAACACACAAAAAGGGAAGCAATCCAGTTACATATGCGTCCATGAAGGGAACGGTCATGGTGACGGCACTGCGATCGGGAAGAACAAAGTTCGAGTTGTTCCTGAACTTCTTGATAGTGCTGAAGATGTAATCCCAGCGACCGCAGTTGAGGCCCGAGCTGTGATCGCGCAGCTCATAGATGATCTCGTCCATCTCGAAGGCTGCGAGGATGGTCTCGATGAGGACAGTACCGCGGATGGTGCCGCGAGAGACACCGACGTAGTCCTGGGCGAGGTTGAAGGCATCGTTCCAGAGACGTGCCTCAAGGTGAGACTCCATCTTGGGGAGGTAGAAGTACGGGCCAATGCCAATCTTCAGCGTCTGGTGGGCGTTGTGGTAGAAGTAGAGGCCGAAGTCGAAGAGGGATCCGGAGATAGGCTCGCCATCGACGGTGACATGCTTTTCCTCGAGATGCCAGCCGCGAGGACGGACGATGAGAGTGGGAAGGGTGCGGTCGGTGCGCAGCTTGTACTCTTTGGAGCCCTGCTTGAAGTCGACCTGGCGGCGGTTGGCGTCGTACAGATTCACCTGGCCATTGACCATATTCTCCCACGTCGGCGCACTCGAGTCTGAAAAGAAACATCGTTAGTATATCGCGACTGGCTTCCAGATATTGCCCTGCAACGAAGTGGATCTTACCCTCAAAATCGGCCATGTAAGTCCAGACATCCGAGTTCAAGGCGTTGACGACCATCTTACGGTCAGTAGGACCTGTGATCTCAACCCTGCGGTCAACCAGACCCGGGGCGGGAGGAGCACCCTTCCATGTGGAGTTCTCTCTGATGTGCTTGGTTTCGGGGAGGAAGTCGGGAAGGGCACCGCGGTCCAGCTCGGCCTGACGGTGCTTGCGGCGCTCGAGCAACGACTTGCGAGTGGCATTGAAGGAGCGGTGCAACAGGGCGAGGAAGGCGAGAGCATCGGGGGTCAGGATCTTGCGCTGGGCATCCGAGACGGAACCCAGCACGTTGACGCCTTGAAGGATTGTTTCGGTGGTGGCCATTTTGGTGATGTTTGGATTGGTGGTGTTTACTTCGTCGTCGTCGTCAGCGAGCGACGGTTTGACGAGTGGCTCGAAGCAAATGCTGTGAGGCTTTCACGTGCTTGAAGACGGGAATGCGCAATAAGGTTGTGAGACAGATCCGGATCCGGTAAGCTTATAAGAAAAGGGTATCTGGAGGAATTGAGAAGCAATTGATGTGGAAGAAGAGATGGGAAGGGAGATGAGAGATGAAGTTCTGGAAGAAGTAGACGACGGGACGAAAACTGCTTCGGCACAGATGACGAGAAACTGATATGTAAATTACTACGAAAGAGCTTCAGATGGGCCTGGCACGACGAACGAGTGCCGCCGTCGCAAGCTCGGCACAGTCGAGTCGAGCGAGGGGTTGGCCGGCGCCCATCACCCATCCATGACATGCCCCCCGGGCTTGGGAATGATGCGCGAGAAGCAGAAGAGGCAAGACGCAAAGACCCCGGGAACCTCACCGGCTCCACACAAGGTACAAGCGAACGGGGCGGAGGGGCGCCGCCGGGGAAGGTATCTTGGGCATGGTGATCGAGGTACCCGTCCAATAGTGCCGCCCTGTTCTTTGGTTAGCAACCCGTCGAGGACGAGCAGCCAGCATCCATCCTGGGTCGGCAGTCATCGGGCTGGTTCGGGTGGATGGAGAGCTTCAGAGCCGGACCGCGGGGAGGGGAGGAGAGGAGAGGAGGGACGTCCATGCGATTGTCGTGTTGGAGAACCTAGCTCGAGGCACAAAGGGTTCGTCAGAGGCACGGTGACGCTTGTGAAAGTGTGGGGAACATGGCAAAGGCATGAAACCTCAAAGCCGAGATGCAAGAGAGTGACTTTGCATGTGCCTACCGCCTTTACTCAATCCTGCGTACGCAGTACCTTGCCTTACCTTGCCGTACCTGGCCGAGCAACAGTGACCTCATATGTCTGGGCCTCTGATACCTCGACGGGCAGACGGAGGGGGGAACCAATGGCGGGGTCCAACACTGATAAGACAGCCCGTCACTGAAGGGGAAAAATGACCAGCGCTCGACTGCTCTAACATTTCCGACCTGACTCGAACATCTGTTGATGCTTCAATTCTGTTACTCGATGCTATCGAACAACTTTGAAAAATATTTTTTTCTGTTGGGGTGGCATCGAATGAAATTCAGGCCCTTTCTACTCCAGCGCGAGGCCGAAGTCGGATCGGCTGTGATAAGGAGCTGGTTCATGTCGCCGCCGGCCACCTCAAAGTCCAGAGGCCCGCAATTGAAGCTCATCCCTGGGGTAAACAAGGGTCTCGTAGCTGTGTCGCTGCAATTTTGTCACTCTACGCGAGTTCATGAAATGATCGCGATGGTAATCGAGTGATCACACACACTTCCCAGCCCTCCCAAATTCGGGCATTGGCTTGACGCAAAATCTACAAGTGCTGTTAGTTCTTAGTCTCCAGATCCGATTCACCGAGATGCCGAGGTTTGTTCCCCATGCTACCCCAGCTTCTCCAAGGCCCAATCAGCTTCTCAACCAAAGCCGACTGTTTCCGACCCTTTCCGGCATCAGTACCAGACGACATGATCCAGACGTTACTAGCAAACAACTTTTGATATGCAGCTCGAGTCTATGAACCGTGGTCTCTCAACCATACAGGGAATCTGAATTATCGCAGCCACCGTCATCCCAAGACGGATCTCCAGTCCACCAATCCTCCAAAGTCCTGCTTATACAAGCCACAGCCATAGTACTGGGCAAGTCATCCAACAGCATTAAGTATCCTTCCTCCGTAATGCCAAACCATCCTGAGACCGTCTGTCGAGCCGCAATCCATATGCCCTTGTGAATCAAGTCTTTGCCGCCGAAATGAAGTCCCAGCCATGCCTTGGTCCGGGCATGCGTCGCAATGCAAAATTGAAAGAATACCAGAACATTCGGGCTTCGTCACCGCCCGAAAATCAAGCCAGCCGCCCAAATTGGACGCAGAAAGAACCTCGCCGCCAACCGTCTGACGCCAAATGCAATCTCGTCCATCCTCAGGAATTGAGCGTTTTGATCATCATCTTCTCCTTGCGCTTGTCAGTCACAAGCAGCCCGCGTAATCCGAAAACCGTCCGGACCGTCTCCACAACCTTGTGGAAGCTGCTTGCTGCTCCGCGCTCTTGCGTAAATCGTACTATGCAGAGGGGCCCCTTCTTTCCGTGCTCAATCACTGTCATAATCTCCGCGGCAAACGCGACCTCCTTGATGTTTAAGTCTGTTCATCGTCAGTCTCGTCTCGGTAGAGTCCAAGCTTCTCAAAAGACTCACAATTCTTGGCCCCTACTCGGGCAAACACAATGTTTCTCTCCTTGTCGACCTGGATATCTTCAATACCATAACGTCGCCAGTCTTTAAGGAGAATCGCCATTTCCTGGCGAGCTCGCTTGCGCGACATCACCAGGCACACGTAGCTGGTGGCGGGCTTGACGCCAAATAGGCGAGCAAGCCAGTTCTGTTGCACCTCAATGTTCCGAACTCCTGTATCAGAGCCGGTGAAGCTTCTAGCGGATTGCCGGCTTGCTTTGTGGAGGATGCCTCGGGTGGGCTCGGATGAAGGCGAATCATCGTAGTCTGGACCTTCTCGATGTGTTAGTGAGTAAATCCGCCTATTCAGCTTTGATGACGCACCGGCAATGGCCATTTTGTTCTCTGTCTTATCTTTATTGCTCTTCCAAAAAAGAAGGCCGAACCCCTTCTTCTTCGGCACTGCAGCAGCAGAAGCATGCGGCTGGATCTCTGATCGGGCAGGATCCGTATCTTGGGTCGTCATACTGTATGCCTGCGTTTCTTGCGTCGCGTCGGTATGTATGCTGCCTTCTTGAGAGGTGCTGTCCTTTGAAGAACGCTTGAACCACAAAGACTTCTTCTGTTTAGAGGGACCACTGCTGTAATTTGCTGTTGACGGAGTGGTCGGCTCATCTGTGCCAGACGCACCGTGCATGTACGCAGAACGCTCATCTGCCAGATCACCGTAGACCGGTCCTTCTGAGGTCTTCTTTCGCACGTTGAGAGGCTTGGGAATCGGGCTTGAGGTGCCGGGGGAGTTGACCACACGAATTGTCTCTCCTGCTCGGACAAGATACTCCAACCCATTAGCATCGCTCTGACCCCCAGGGGTCTTGGGCGGTGCGGATACGATGCGGTTTCTGTCTTTATCACCATGGTGATATGATGACTCCGAATCGCGCCCGTTTTCATTGATCGCCGGCAAACGCGCAGATAGCTTGCTATTCTCTCTGTGTGGCGGTGCAGAAACGATGCGGCGATCTTGTTTGGGAATCAAAGCTGGAAAGCCCAAGCGGTTGACATGGTCTACAAACTTTCCAACACGACCAGTATGCTGCGCATCTTGACCTTTGCCAGCCTTGGTTGTCGTTGGAACCGGCGGGGCCTGCGACTTCGGGGGCGGCAAGGGAGGCAGCGGACGTGTGTCCCACGGGTGGAAAGGAGTGTTCGCTTGTGCTGAAGTTGGGGTTGGTATATTGAATGAAAGTCTGGTCGAGTCCTGCTTTCCGTCCGAACCGTCGTCGACCTCACTTAGATCATCCGCGATCATCGAGTTTCCAAAGATCTCATCGCAGTCTTTCGCGATGCTGTTGCTAAAGTTTCGAACTTCCTCGTTGACAACCAGTGCGGGGTCTCGCGGCTTCACAATCTTCAACTTCGGTCTAGGCCTTTCCATGACTGGCGTCTGCTTTGGGGGGCTCGTCGGAGTCTTGGCCCTCACCTCGCCTTCAGAGGGAATAGCGAGCGGGGTTCCTCTTCGACGCTTTTCGCCATTTTGATCGTTCGACTTTCTTCTTATGTGAGAAAAGTCGATTCCGCGTTTGTGACGAGAGGCGGGCCGTGCATAAGGAGTTCCTTGTCTGCTGCTATGCAGAGAATTCATGGAGTTGAGGGGAGATTGGAAGCGAGAGGCGACGGTGCGCTGAGAGTTGACGCGAGAATGACGAACTGTTGATCCTGTCTTGATGCGTGAAAGCTGGCTCGTCTGGGTGTTTTCCCGCTTCATGGATCCGCGGCGAGTACGATGAACCACAATTTTGGCATGGCTGGCCTGGGAGTGTCCACGCATTGGCTTGCTCGAGTTGTAAGGATCGTAGCTTTGGACCGTTCCATCTTCTGTCTCGGCCACATGGGAGATTACGGTAAATCGCGAGACGCTTCTTCCGGTTCCATCTGCCCTGGGTTGGTTGAACTCCACTGTCGACACACGCTTCTTCCAAACTGGCTCGTGGAGATGATGGTAATCGCTCGGGGACTGGGAGAGTTCTGGAAGAAAGTTCTCCAGTTGCTTCTTACGATAATCATACAAAAGCCAGTAGAAAAGCTTCTGGTCGTTTTTCCTGCGATGCATTAGCCCGATTTTCACACAGAATATAATGAGTGTCGACATACGCAGAATCCATCAGCTTCAACTTGATCTGATGCTCTGTGAACATGTGCCACATTGACCGGAGCTGTCTGACCAAGTGAGGATCAACTTCGTGGGGCTTCAATGGGGTGTAGTGAAAGGTCTTGCGGAGGTCCTTCGGTTGTCCATTGGTACCAAGATTGTCGAGATAGTCATACTTGCGGATGAGTGGGTGCTGCCACATATCCTTGATCGAGATTCTCGTATCAGGATTGGCAATGAGCATGCGTCGAATGAGATCCTTTGCTTCCGGGCTCAAGAACTCTGGAATCTCGTATGTTCCCCGCTTGGTTTTCTGCAACAGAGCTCCGATGTCCGGGTCGTCAAAGGGAAGACACGCAGCCAAAAGGGCGTAGAGAATGATACCCAATGACCAGATATCAGCTTTATCTCCACGGTAGTGCTTGTGCTTCAACAGTTCGGGCGCCGCGTAGTGAGGACTTCCGCAGGCGGTCACTAGTCGATGATCAGAAGACTGATGTAAAGCGGCCATGCCGAAGTCGGCAATCTTGACTTTGTGATCCGCCGTCAACAAGATGTTTTCGGGCTTGAGGTCGCGATGACAAATGTTGAAGGAATGGCAGTATTGAAGGGCACTCATCATCTGCCGAAAGATGAACATGGCACCTTCCTCCGAGAAACGGCCATTAGTATTGATGTAGTCGAACAAGTCGCCTTGCTCGACGTACTCGAGAACCAGATAACTAAGAAACAGTTAGCACAGAGCGGTCCACATCAAGAATCAAGTTGACTGACATTTCTGAACGATTCTCCCAGATATCATACACCTTCATAACGTTGGGATGGTCGACCAACTTCAGAATAGCCACCTCTCGCTCGATTGACAAGGGTACGCGCATTTCGCCGTTGATTCTTTCGGGCAGGCTGTCGTCATAGTCGTGAAGCTCGGCAAGACTACCGGCCTGGATCAGGTAGGCGGTCTTCTTGGGAACAATCTTCACGGCAGCCAACTCGCCGGAGATGCGATGCTTGCAGAGCCTGACGCGAGCGGAAGATCCCTTACCGAGGGTCTTTCCGAGAAGCCATGGTCCAATGTGCGTCTTGTACGCGTAGCCGCTGCTCCGTTTGCTCGAGGGGGCCGTGGAAGTCTGAGAGACCTGCGACATTCGCTTCGAAGGATCATGGTCTTGCGATGCTCTGGCTCTCGCCACAGCAGGGTTGCGGGAGCTGATTGGCGCAGTCGTGGGAGTAGCAGCCCGGGCACTGGTGATGGGGAGCTCATCAACGAGATACTGGCGGTCAGATCCTTGCTGAGCGTATGAGGCCTTGTCGCGTGACTTGGATGATTTGACGGGGATTTTGGATGAAGCATTGTTGACGCGCTGTGTGGCATCCGCGAGGGGAGGCCTGGCGCTGGAAGGCCTACCTCGACCAGGCTCCGACATGATGGCAAGTTGTGTCGCGATCAGAACATGTTCGGTGGTGATTGAGCTCCAATTGGCTGTTCTCTGTGTGTAAGGTGATGAACAAGGGAGAGTAGAGAGATTGGAAGATAAAAAGTCCTGATCAGGTAAAAACGAGCGAAAGAGAGGATGAAGACCAGGACCTGAACGAATGGATGGATTTGATAGACTGGTTGCCAAAAAAGCCGAGGATACAGAGAGGGTGTATGGTGGATGGATGGGTTGGGTAGTGAGGATGGAAAAAGGAGAGGCAGCGCGAAAGCTCGGGTGACGACTTGACGCGCAGAGTCAAGGCGGGTGTTGTGGTAAAAGAGTGGAATGCAAGTGAGAGTCGGGGTGCCGGGATAAGCGAAGAAGTCGAGGCAATTGATGGTCGAGAATAGAAGGCCCGAAGGGAGGATGTGGTCGAACGTTGCCCCTTCCCACTAGCAACTCCGTTTGAAAGGACGAATAGAGCAACGACAAAAGGTTTCACGAGGTTTCTCGAGTGGGTCAGCAAGAACAGCTGGAATGAGGTTCGTGCTCTGGATTTCAGCCAACGGCTTGATGCGGGCTGATTTCGTACTCGATGGAAGGAGCGAAGCAGCTGCTTGGTCGCAGAAAAATTCCCTACGACGAGCTCGACGTCACCAACGCTGCCACTTACCTCTACTTGCCCTAGCACCGAATACTTGCGGCTCTCGTGAGATACCTGAATGAGGAAAGAGCACTAAGTTCGGGGGTTTTGGCTTGTGAATTTGTTTCGCACGATATCTAAGTTACCTAGCTTGCATACCGTTCCATCCAGTCTCCTTGAGGGGTGGCATCTTTCTTCAACTTTCCAAAGACCATCTAGGGGACCGTAAAAGACATCTTGCGGGTGGGACTGGACGAAGGTCTCAGGGAAGCTTCTTTGAAGACCCTTCCAAATACAGGGCGAGGTGAAAACCAGACATGGTCGGCGAAGTCGATCAAATCGGATGACAGATCAACGGTCGACTCGCGAGGGATGAAGTTGGCAGCCACCACAGCCCTGCAAAATCCGTGCGGACGTTGGCCCCACTTGAAGCTCCCGCAGCTCCACCGGCACCGCATCTGCAGGGAGTCGGATTCAATTACATAAGCGGCAGGGATACCCTCATTAACCTTAGCGCATTGTTCAAGCTCACAGGGGCACGCGCGGGGTGGACAAAGACGCGTCTAAATTAATTCTCGCGTCAAGCCTCAATCAACTTCACCAACAACCTCTTTGCGCCCCAACCAAAGTAATGCCTGGCTCGGCCACATCTTCCGCCTCTGCCACGGCCTAAACATTCGACATCCCTCCCCTAGTACTCGGCGCTCGCGAACAGTACGACATGTCGTCCCATGCCCCGAGCCGTCGTCGCCGACGCGAGATAGAGGACGACAGCGACTCCTCCTCCGCCTCTGAGCCCCCAAAACGCCCCCGCTTGAGCCGGCGTGCCGAAGAATCCGACTCCGATGACGAGGAGCCTCGAAAGAAGTCTCGAACGAATGGTGTCAACGGTGTAAAGTCACAGGTTGACCACGATGGATTCCAGCCCGGCGCAATTCGCCGCGTTAAGGTCGAGAATTTCGTCACGTACGAAAGGGCAGAGTTTCTGCCGGGCCCGAATCTCAATATGGTCATTGGTCCCAACGGAACGGGAAAGAGTTCTCTGGTCTGCGCCATCTGCTTGGGCTTAGGCTTCAGTCCGAAGCATCTCGGCAGAGCCGGCAACGTCAAGGAGTTTGTCAAGCACGGCAAGTCCTCGGCCACCATAGAAATCGAGCTGCAAGGCAGGCCTGAAGACAGAAAACACCACGTCATCAAGGTTCAAATCGATCGGGAAAGGAACAGTCTCAAGTGGTGGATGAATGGCAAGGACACTACGCACAAGAACATACAGCAGCTCATGAAGGAGCTCAAGATCCAGGTGGACAACCTTTGCCAGTTTCTGCCACAGGACCGTGTTGTCGAATTCGCCTCCGCTACTCCAGTGGACTTACTACACGAGACTCTGCGCGCTGCAGCACCACAAGAGATGCTTGAATGGCAAAGGGAACTTCGGGACCTTCATAGGGACCACAAGGAGCTTCAGCGAGGCTCCGCGAGCCATGCCGACCATCTGAAAAGCCTTAAGGACCGACAGCATGACATGCAAAACGATGTTGACAAGCTTCGTGAGCAGCAAGAAGCCCAGCAGCGTGTTGTGGACCTCAAAGATGCTCGACATGTCGCCGACTACCTCGAGGCGAGAGCGTTTTATCAGCAACAAAGAAGCGAGGAGAAGGAAGCGAAGAAGGCTCTGAAGAAGCTAGAAAATGAGGCTTCTCCGTCCCTGCAGGCGGTTAACCGCAAGCAAGAGTATCACGACAAGGTGTCCGCTGTGGTCCGTTCTCGCAAGGATGTAGTGCGGCGTGCGGAAGCCGCGGCGGATACGATGCTCAACCGAATCGAAGACGCTGAAGAGCAGAAGAAGGCAGTAGACGCCAAAGTGGAGACCAACAGAAAAGGCTATGATGCCAAGAGGCAAGAACTCGGCAAGATTCGTAACAAGATCGGTGCTTTGGAGAACCAACAGAAGAACAAGCCAGCCGAGTTCAATCCTCAGGAGCATAACACCCAAATCGTACGTTACCAGAGCCTCAACAGACGAAACACTGCTAACGGATTATGTAGAGAGAAAAAGAGCACCAGCTCCGAGAGATCGAGACTGAGACTCGCCAAACTGACATGAAGATGAGGGAGCTCAGGGAACAGGGACAAGCCAAGAACCAGATGAAAAGCAAACTCAACCAGGATCTCGAGAACCTGGATTCGCAACAGGGTCAGCTTCTCAACTTCATCCAGAAGAAGTGGCCTGATGTCGCCAAGGGCTGGGAGTGGCTGCAACAGAACAAGGACAAGTTTGAAAAGGAGGTTTTCGGCCCGCCCGCTCTGTGCTGTTCTGTCCAGAACGACCAGTACTCGGACCAGATACAAGCGCTTCTCCATAACGACGATTTGCTTTGCTTCACGACACAGACCCGAGAAGATCATAAGAAGCTTAGCGACGTCTTCTATAGACAACTTAGTCTGTCGGTCAACACGCGATCCATATTCAGGCCGCTGCACGACTTTAGACCGAGAATGTCTCAGGAGGATGTCAAAAGCCTTGGGTTTGACGGCTTTGCCATTGAAATGCTTCAAGGGCCCGAACCAGTTCTCGCGATGCTTTGCAATGAGAAGAAACTGGACTCTGCTGGTATTGCCTTGTCAGATATCAGCGATTCTCAGTACGAGCGAATTATTCAGGATGGGATCGTCAACAATTGGGCGACTGGTCGGCAGCTGTACAGAGTGTCTCGACGTAGAGACCTTGGTCCTCAGGCCGTCTCAACAATGACCCGAGGCATCCAAAAAGGTCTGTTCTGGACAGATCAGCCCATTGACGAGGCTGAGAAGAATGATATTCGACGTCGCTTGCGCGAAGTTGAGGCCGAGTGGGACGACCTGAAAGCGCAAAACTCAGAGCTCAAAGCCCAGCTCGGACAACTGAACGAGAAGAAGAAGGATCTCACTGGGGATCTGGTAAGTCGTAGGACACCACTAGAGATCAGAACGAAAGCTGACTTGCCACAAAGCAAATGCTCAGGGAGCGGAAGAATGAGCTACAGAGAAACCACAACGCTTATCAGGCCATTCCCATCAAACTGGGTAAGTAAACCACTTGATCGCCAGAATACCGCTAATACATGGATCCAGAGGCCGAAAAGAAGGCTTTCGAACAGAAGAAGGCAGAAGTCGACGAGGCCAAGACAGCAGCCTGGAAGCTTGGCGTCGAGAGAGACAACGCTGCAGTTGAGAAGGCGAGAGCTGCTCTTCGACATCACGAGGCCATTGCTACTGTCCGAGATGCGCAACAGGCCTTGCTAGAGGCGCAGATCCGCGAAATCGAAGCCAAGTCTGATGTTCAAGGTCTCATTGCTAGGAACACCGACCTGATGCAGAAACTTGAGGACAAGAAGCGCCAAATTGACACATTGGCGGCGGAGTCTCAGCGTTGCAGAGCTCGTGCGGAGACAGCGCAAGGCAAGGTGACAGACCTCTTCCACAACGACCCAAGCAGGAGGGACCTCCTCGAATCATTAGCCCAGGACAAGTCTGTTGAGGATGTCGACAACGAGATCGCGGCTGAGGAGGGCAAGCTTGAACTCATCCATGTCACCAACCCTGGTGCCCTCCGCGAGTTCGAGAAGCGTGCTCGGGAGATTGAGAAGTTGCGCCAGAAGATGGAGAGCTCGACGAGCAAACTCGAACACTTGGACCGCCAAATTTCGCGTATCCGTGAGAAGTGGGAGCCGAAGCTTGACGAACTTGTCAGCAAGATCAACGATGCCTTCAGCTACAACTTTGAGCAAATCAACTGTGCCGGAGAAGTTCGCGTACACAAGGACGAGGACTTTGACTTGTGGGCCTTGGACATCATGGTCAAGTTCAGGTATGTTTCCATAAGTATCAACCTACATCGCGGCAGAACGACTAACACCCAAACAGAGAAGGAGAAACACTTCAACAACTCAATCAACACCGTCAATCAGGTGGCGAGCGCGCTGTTTCCACGATTTTCTATCTCATGGCTCTCCAGTCCATGGCGCAATCCCCCTTCCGCGTGGTCGACGAGATCAATCAGGGTATGGACCCTCGCAACGAACGCATGGTCCACGAACGCATGGTCGAGATTGCGTGCCGCGAGCACACGTCGCAGTACTTCCTCATCACACCCAAGCTACTTACGGGTCTCCGTTATGACCCGCGCATGCGCGTCCTCTGCATTGCCAGCGGCACGCACATGCCCGACGACGGCAAAAAGCTCGACTTTGGTCGCTGCTTGAAAATCCACAAACGCATCACGGCCAGCGCGTAAAGGGGGGCATCATGGATGGTGACGGTGTTCGTCGAGTGATTAATTTTGGCAGGTATTTTTCAGGCGTCAGGGCGGGCAAAATGTCAGGAGGCCACGATACCCTGGTTGGGCTGCGATCAATAGGTTTTAGGTGGTTGACATGAGAGACCATAGAGTTCAAATTTCATGATTATTTGAGATCTGGTACTGGCTAGAGTAACCTTGTATTGGGCTTATTTGTGGCCATTGCCCGCCGTAGACTCATACGGCGAAAACTCAAATCAAACAGGCTTGATTGTTTCTTGAGTCGGCAAATTTGACCCAAAATGGTGCAGTGTTGCGTTATCAACTTCGCTCGCATCGATGCTGTCTGAATAAGACTCGCCGACGGATGAATTGAAACACTGCTATGCAAATGTAAATGACAACTCGCTAAAAACCTCCCCCATGTTCCTGGTATCTCGGTAAATGCTTACGCCGTATCCAAAACGACAACCTCCGCGTCGGCCTCGCCGACACTTTCAACATTCAACTTGTCCCCCGCATTCACCGCATCAACGAACGCGCCGTCCCCCTCAGACAAGACAGCGTCGTCGCGACCGTCGATACGGATCTTGGCCTTGCCGCCCTTGGTCATGGGCAAGTGCACAAACACCTTGCGCTTCGTCTGCTGCGTCGCCTTGCCTCCGACGACCCACTCGAACGCCTTCTTGGGCTCGATGATGCCCGCGCCCATGACGAAGTCGGCGTGGATCGGGATCGTGTCGGGGATCGCCGGCTCCGCGGCCTTCTCCTCCGTCGACGTCGCGTCCGGGCCGGCCTTGAGCGGCGACAGGATCTTGACGAAGCCCTTGCGCTTGTCCTCCTCGGCGAAGTGGCGCGTGTGGTAGGTGGGCGGCAGGCCGCGCTTCCAGGGGATGGCCCAGATCTGGAGGAAGTGGACGGTGTCGCGGGCGTGCTCGTTCATCTCGGAGTGGGCGATGCCGGTGCCGCCCGTGGTGAACTGGACGTCACCGCGACGCATGCGGAAGAACTTGTCGCTCTGGCCGCCCTCGTTGCCCTTCTGCAGCATCGAGTCGCGGTGGGTGAGCTCGCCGGAGAGGATGTAGCTGAAGATCTCGAAGTCGCGGTGGGGGTGGGTCGGGAAGCCCGTGTTGGCCTTGACGCGGTCCTCGTTGAGGACGCGCAGGGCGCCGAAGTTGTTGAAGTTGGGGTTGTACCAGTCGGCGAAGGAGAAGCTGTGGTAGGTGTTGAGCCAGCCGTGGTCGGAGTGGCCGCGGGTGCCGCTCCGGTGCGGAGTGATCTTTGCGTGGTGGAGGGTTTTAGACATTGTGTTCTTGGCTGCGTTGAGCATGTGCTCTGGGTCTGGAGTTGTGGTGTTGGGTTTGTTGGTGTTGAAGACTGAGGCTGTGATGTCTGTGACGAAGCTCTTGAGTTGCGTGTTGAAGATGACAATGGAGATAAAAAGAGCGAAAATCGCAGTGAGAGTCGCGAGCCGAGGCATATATAGCTGGAAGTCTCACAAAGATGGAGAAGCTGGGACAATCGAGAATCTACTTGAAGAACGATCGTAAGTAGTTGTTCAGCATTCGCCAATCTCGCCCGCCGCTTATATTTTATTCATCGGGGGCCAGAGGTCTTACACATGCCCCCTGCAACGCTGTCTAAGCGTTTACATAAGGCGGCGTCACCCAGCACGGCGGGGTGGTTTTCTGCGGGTGATGATTCGATGAATTTTTCGCAAATGGGCTGCTTAGGATTGGATTATTCAGAAGTTGTCAGCAAGGTCGCCTTGCTCCACCCCGCCTCTTCGGTCCCGTAAATATGGGGCCGTTATTACGGCGCCGTGACACCATCCCGGCCCTAGCCGGCGGGCAACATCTTCTCGGTTTTTGCTGACCGCAGTTGCACTCGACCACTTCTCGCTCTTAGACTGCGTTGAATTCTTGAAATATCTGGTTTTATTAATTGACGAGGAAGTAATTATGCTCAAGTTAATGAGAAGTTTGGTGTTCAGCTGAAAGTTCTGGTTGTGGTGAGGATAAAGGCAGTAGCAACTGACAGCGGCCATCCAAAGTTGAACAGACACAAAGAGTATATAGGTCATCATATTTAATATTTTTCTTAGGCGTCAAAGAAGTTGGTAATCCCAAGATGCTCCAGTCCAGTACTCTCCACGATTATTCTCTCCAACTGTCCCAATGCCTTTCCTTTGTCTGCCATCGACAATGCGTAATTTATCTTGGCTTTCCCTTCATCGCTTAAAAAGTCCCTTTCATAGGCTAGTAAGCGTGGAGTCAAGCCCGTGCTGGTTTTCAGTGTGAGATCGGCCTTCCTTGTGTTCAGTAGGAGCTCAACATACTCCGGGGCACGCTGTATTGCCGTTGTGAGGGGTGTCCGGCCTTGAGAGTCAACTATATTGACATCTGCGTTTCTGGCGAGTATGTCTTTGCATATATCATAGTTTTCCAGCCGGATTGCCGTGATAAGGAGATTCTCCCCATTCTCCCAATAAAAAGCTCTATCAGCGTCGACCAACGTGTTGACATCCAATTGCTCCGCGTCGCATAAATATTGGAAACTTTCTAAGTTCCCACACAAAACTGCGTTAAAGATGGAACCGTATCTTCTTGACGGATCAATACTAGCATTTCTTTCTCCATGTAGGTATTTGACGATTGGCAAATGTCTCCTGCGGATAGCCAGAGCGAGTGGTGAGGTTTCTCCTATTGGTGAGTTGACGTTGGCTTTGCCGGTATTGACAAGAATCTTCACCGTTCCAAGACGACCTTGACTTGCCGCTTCACCTAAAGCCGTATAGTGACAAGTGTCTTGTGAATCCACATCGACCTTTCCGGTAGCGAGAAGAGTCTGGACCACTTCGTTACACCCAGAACTTGCCGCATGATGAAGTGGTGTTAAGTTGTCATCGTCTTTTGAGGCTACGTCGACCTTTCCGGTAGCTAGAAGAGCCCAAACCACCGCTACATGCCCGCCCTCCGCGGCACAAGAAAGAGGTGTTTGGCTGTTGTGAAAGGTTTCTGAGTCCACATCTACTTTTTCAGTAGCTAGAAGAATCTGAACCACTGCTAAGTGTCCGAGACTTGCTCCAAGATGTAAGGGTGTTGCACCGTCGGAATTTCTCGGATCCACATCTGCTCTCCCATCGTCCAGTAACGCTTGAACCACCGCTGTGTGGCCATTCTCAGCTGCTATCAATAGAGCTGTATCTTTTCCATCGTTTCGCATGTTGACACCAGCCCTGCTGGTAGCTAAAAGCGCTCTCACAACAGCATCGTGTCCCTGCCTCGCTGCTAAATGAAGAGTTGTGTTGCCCCGGTCACCAGCTCTTCGAATGTCCACTCGGGGAGATGTAATATGTTCAATAAAAGTCCGCTTCTTGAGGAACAATTGAACCACGTCTAGATGTCCAGCGCCCGCAGCCCATGACAAGGCGGTTCTGCGTTCTGGCTTATAACGAGCGTTTATTCTAGAAGCGCCAGTTTCGAGAACTCTCTCGCATGCTTGTGTAATTCCAAAATACGATGCCAAGTTGAGATCGTCACCTCTTTTGTAGCGGTCTAAGTTGATCTTGGGAGGTTTTCCAAATCGATAGGAATAGCCCCGAGGTTCCTCGCAAAAGAGTTCGTACCACGCCCTGAAACCCGTCCAACTTGTCTTGCAGAGTCGTGATAGACATGATATCATCTCAGAATCTGCTTCAAGATTCGAGTCTTTGTAGTGATAGGCCCAATACCTGGCGGTGTAATCAAATAGCGTGTGCTTCCTAGAGTATGCCCTGACAGCTTTCAACTCTGGATCTCCGAGCAATGGGTGAAAGTTTCCAACCCAATTGAGGTAACGAATACAGATCCTCGCTAGAATTCCATTCGAATCGTGCGGCTGTAAACAGGACTTCCACTCCAGTGATGGAAGGCCATGTACGATGTCGTTGCAACCTATGAGGAATTCTCTTGCGGTTTGGTGTATCAGGTAGACTTTGGTGTCTTTTATCACCACAAAAAGACCGCAAACATTCCGGATGATCTTTCGGCAGTCCTCTGCTGTTGCAACCTGCAGCTCTGGCATTTCGAGGGACTTGTGACTTTGTATAGCTAAAGCCGTCGCCATCTCGTCCAGAGATAGAGGCTTATATGCTGCGACGACAATGTGAAGCAGCACCCTAGCCTTGTCATGGTCTCGGCCCTGATTGAGTATCTTGTTGTACGCCTCCTCTACCGTCTTGGGAATCTGCTGAATGGAGTCTGATATGCTAACATTCTCCACAGTCCGAAGCATGTCGCACACGAGATGCACCCAGAGATAAGTTCTGTTTTGTGTCTGACAGAGCTGCTGAAAGAGCAGCTCTTCAGCTTCCTGGGTGAGTCCCAACTCCTTTTTCAGACCGTCGACCTTGCTCCGAATCACAATCTCAATTTCTGATTCGATGTTGGTGAGCTCCGAGTCGTCCTCGCCTCTGACACGAATGAATTTAACTTTTCCTTGGAGGGACCGGAAGTCACTCTCTATGTTGCTGTACGGCCGACTTAGCAAGATAGGCTTGAAACCAGAAGTCGGGTTTCCGCAGAGTTCACCTAAGCTTTTGATCAACCTATCCCATCCGACATGGCATTCGTCCAGTGCACCCAGGACGCATATGATTTCTCCGGCATTTGGTTGACTGATTGTGTTCAGAAACAGTCTCCAGAGGTTGCTAAAGCCTTCAAACATCTTTTCGCCGAGATCTTCAAAGGACTCTAGCAGCGCCTTGGTGAATAGAGGGGAATCGCCACTCAACAGCTGGTGAAGCAAGCCCCGCAAGGCGCTTTCTGCGCTTCTTTGGTCGGCGAAATCGTCCTTGAAGAAGAAGTAGATGACCCTAGAGGACGGAGTTGAGGTCGGTAGGACGTTTTCGATCAAATGTCTAGCCAAGACGGACTTTCCGCATCCAGGGTCTGCAGAGACCCAAAGCAGGCTGGAGGACTGCTCAGAAAGCCAGTCTCGAAAGTTCTGATGCTCCACAAACCACCTGCACGTGTTGACAGCGGCTGGTGGGTTTCTATCCTTGTGTGATTCGTAGGATGAAGGGTTGAGCCGCCGCAGGGCCTGCCGTTTTCTTTCATCTAAGTGAGACACAAGGTTAGTGACTCGAGAAAACTTTGGCAGTCGGATAATGGCCTTGAGTTTCTTCAAAGTGAAATGGTCGATTGAACAGGACCGTGCCTATGGCACTCTCATTATAATGACGATCTCAAAAAAGGCACATAGACGCATCCGCGGAGTCTAAACCCGGTAATTCCTCATCAAAAAGAATCTCGTACTACTAACCTTGAGTCGCTCCGAAATGTGCATCTCCTTGAACATGATTGATATGACCAGAACCGAAGTGATTCCATGACGTGGTGTAGTCGCCGACTTGATTCAACATAGGTCCCTGGCCTCCATGAGAGATATTCACCCCCTTCGCATCCTCCAAGAGAGTATCTGGGGCAGATGCCTTGACGTTTCCAACTTCCTCAATAGCTGCCTTGAGCCCAGCGAGCTCTTCAGAGGTCGCTGCATGGATCGTCTTGTAACTCGCCAGAGTCAAGATATCCCGGAGAATCTGCCTCATCAAATCTTCAACGCGCCCTTTCTTCCCCCGACACTTGATCAGGGAGACGTAGTGATCAAGGCTCCAAGCCGACGCGGAGTCTCCTGGTTGAAGTTTCTCCAACGTTGTCTTCAGAGTCTCGGCATTCTCCCTGCAAGAATGGACGACCGGGAGGATGGCTCTGAGTGTCGATTCTGGGGCGTTCCGAGTCTGAGACTCGACTGCGTCCAGGATTCTTTGCGCGAGGGGGACTTGTCGGGCGACTGCGTCGAATGCTTCAGGCAGGCCTTTCATCCCTTTCATCTTGCTGTGGGCTACCTCGGCAGCGGTGAGCAAGCCGACAACGCTGCCGATGACGCCGATGATTTCCGCCATCGCGGAGTAACGTAGGGAAAGCCAAGAGTAAGGGCGATTGTTCGTTCAGGATGCGAAAGTGAAGCTGCGACGAAGCCGTAGATGTTTGGGGGAAGATGGACCGCGCGGAGAGACAGGAGAGCGAGCGGCTGTGTGCGAGGGGTCAATTGCCCAGCTGACATTCCCAATTCGATGTCGTGCAGCCATTTGCAGGCGATAATCTGTGTTGATTGGGCGAGGAGAGACATCTGCCTAACTGCGCCAAGAAAGGGCAATATGCCACAAGCTGATGCGGCCAATTCTCCCAGCCTGATCCAACACCAACGAGTTGGAGCGGCCGTCGTTGATCAATGATTTGCCCACTGCCAGGGGTAATCTGTGTAAGCTGAGGGAGTCCCTTTGGGTGTTTCAGCCGCCTTCGCCTCAGAGTCTTGACAGTTGAACCGTAGACAGCGTTAAATTGTGGACAAACTCAGAGGGGAGGATGCAAATCAAGAGACTAGTGCCGATACAGCTCATTCGGTTGATCAAAATACTTTTGATGCTTAAGAAAGGTGATATGAAACAATCTTCCGTTTGCCAATGTGCGAGTTCATCAGCGTTGACGTCTCCGCCATTCCTTTTCATTTCAATTTTTAGGATGAAGTTGAATAACACCGGGAATTTCGTACCATGCCGAGGCTTGAATGTACTCGCAAGTCCTTTTCGTCTTGTAAAGCCATTTGTCGAGGTCAATATTTGAAACCTTTCTCGTTTATAGCCATGTTACCTTGTAGGAAGGTCTTGCACGACAACTTCGTTGGACGTCGCTTCAAGCCCTCAGCATTCACCCAGACCCTTTCAAGACTTAAGAAACGTCCCCGAGTCATGGAAGTTTGTGTTACATTGCCCTGAGAGATCACCTCGATCCAGTACATGTGCGGCTCATTCATCGAGGAATCGTCCCTAGCGAGGAAAAGGCGTGTCATTAATGATTGATGTCATCACTACAAGGACGTCCCTGATTTGAGAATGCCTGCGGAATAGTTATCAGATGCCCAGACTTGTATAAGTCTATCCAAGAGAGCTTCATCTCATCAACCCCTGAACTTCGCCAAGCGGGACATCCCCAAGAACGGCCGGCGATCAGAAGAACCGCAGGTCGCAGCACAGCCATGACATGACTCATTGGTCTTGAAGAATCAAAACAGAATCTTACTATCGTCAATGTCTTCTCAGTGAAGAAGCGCTGCAGATTTAGAGACGCGACGATGTCACACAGTTAGGTGATCGCGAGTCACAAACCACCGCACTTCGCTTAGTATGAAACTGCAGCACATCTGACGTGCCATCATCGGTCCATATCAGTCCTGCTTGGCAGCAACTTTATTAATCTGATCTCACAAGTACATCAGAAAAGTCGAGGGATGAAGGATTCGTTGAGGATTTGATGAGAAGACGTTGGTCACGATGAAACTTCATGAACTGGCATGAAACTTCACCAACAGCAAGATAGGCAAGAAAAAGAAACATTCATGCGCGGCTATTGTTCTGAAGATGCTAGTCAAGCACGTCCTACTTTGGGCAGCTTTCGTTGTGAGTGAGGGGTTCAGTCATGAATCGACCTTGATACTACTTCAGAGATGAGATTTTCAGCTCAATCATCGACTCAAGCTGACGATCTCATCATGGACCGCAATCAACTAATAGTAATACCGTCTGCGAGGCCATGAACAGCACAGAGCCAGCTTCCCAGCCCAGACCAAAACCCTCTCTTCGCAAACCGTCTTGGCATCCACATCCCCAAGTCTTCCCACCGTCCCTCCTCCAAACGGAATCCCAAGCCCCTTCCGGCCACCGTCACCAGTCACCCGGACACCAACCCCGATCGTCGTCTCATAACTCGGCCCGTCCTCCCTTTCCTTAAACCCCTAACCCCCGCCCTCCGCCGTCACGCGTACATACGCCCAGCAGCGACAACAGCAGAAGTCCGCCCAAACCTAACCCGGAACACTCCCAGCCGCCATCCAAAGAACAAGCTCAAGCGCGGGAAAGGGGGCGGCGGGGGGAGGGGAGGAGTTGAGAGACTCCACCGGTAAGGCAGATCGCCCGTTCTCACCCCTGAACCGGGACCTCTCTGTCTGCGGTAACTTGTACTCTGAGGTATCTCGAGCCTGAGATGACAGTGACGTTGTGATGTCCGGGTTGACTAGACATAGACATAGACCATAAGGGGTCTAGACTCCAGGGGGCGTAGAATGATGTCGAACAACACTCCCCTTAGACGGATAGGATACCGAAACCGAGGCAAGAACCATATCACAAATCAACCAAGACCATACAAGAAAAAACATCACCAATCGAAGCCTCCGACAAACGAGTAAAGGGGGTAAAAAGGCACATCCCGTCGGCGTCAAGATGCGAGAGTCTCGCAGCGAACCCGGCCCCTGTATCACCACCACATCCCACCGAGATCACCTCTACATTACACACGCAAATCTGTACAGCACAACCCCAAAAAGAGTGGCGCCCGCTTGCCGTCCCGGGATGGCGGTTCCAGACCCTCGGTTTCCTCATCCTGACTCAAATGGACAGACGGACGGGGAAGGGAACTCCCTCTCCGCAGCTTGCCCCGTGCCCCCATCCCTCCGGGGAGGGTATCCCTCTCGGTCCAGCAGAAGCAGCGGACTTTTGAATAATGATTGGGAGCCCTTGGACTGTTTGCTGCCGGTACGTAATCCCATCCCATCTCAAGCTTTTCAGATCGCCGAACCCTGAGTCTCCTGCTTCCTCGCACTCGCAGCGGCGGCGGCTCTCCCCGAGTCCACACAGGAGAGACCGCGATGACGAGAGAGGTCTGTCCGAAGTCTAACGGCGGAGACACCTTCCATCTCGGGCGATGGTTTCCTATTGATGATAAAAAGATGACTTTTGGTCCTAAATGCCGACCGGAACTCAGCCCTTGTTCGGACATCTTTTATCATCTGGATTACCAACCGCTCGGGGCAGCAATCACTGGTCGTCCCGCATCCCACCGTCCTCCCCCCCTGATCGCCCGCTCCAGGTGAACCCACGTTCGAGAACGAACGGCCGCGGAGCGGAGAAAAAGATGAGCAGAAAGCCCGCACCCCGGACCCCGGCCACGACGCAGTGGAGGAGGAGGAAGGGCAAGGCATGGAGAGAAAAGTCACCTACGACCCCCCTCCCCCCCCCACGAAACCTTAAAGAAAACAAGTCTGTACCTCAAGTCCGTACCTCAGCATCCGTTGCAAGGCTGCAAGACGAACGCTGTCAAAACCTCGCGCTTGGGTCAGCGGGCATCCCGGCAATACGTCGTATCCTCATCGGTGCCGATTAACCTTATTTCTGCAGCGGTTTAACGCGCGCACGCCGTCTATCGAGACGGCGTAGCGCCGGCCACCACCCACCACCACCATGCCTCTGCGACGAGGACCAGGGGCCTGGCATTGGGGTAAATTGGCACTTTGGGTTCATTTTGGCTCAGGTGTGAGAAAAGATGAACCGCGAGTCGCGCGGGCAAGGAGAGAAGATGACGATGAGCAGAAGAGAGTTTCTGTTTACCCTTTCCGGCCCCCTTACAGGGTGATATCTCCCCACCTTCCGTTACGGACGTGGTTCCGGGCGACGTTGACCAGTGGTACGGCGTCACCTTCGTCTGAAGTTGTGAATAGCGACACCGAGATGGAGGTCGCCGCTGGTGACATAATCTTCAGGGGCTAGACCTGCGCGAGTCAATAAGGTTCGGAGATCTACTTGCTGTATTGGTGATTAGTACTCCGAGTACTTTGGGTGCAGGGTTTCGGCCGATTCTTTGCCTCGGGTTTCTGTTGCTGATCAGATAAACGGCGATGTTATTGCTCCGCCCGGCGGTGAGGAGTAATCGCCGAACCACCGGGATAACAAATGCCGTAACATTTCGGCGACATTCGGCGGGCGCTTTCTCAAGCCAACACCTGTCGCACCGACCGACAACGAACCCGGGCTCGGAGACCTGACCAAAACATCAGACAGCTGAATTTGGTCTGGGTCTACAGCACGAATTTGGCGATTCGACTTGCTGCTGACGTGGGATCCCACCAGAACCCCTAGTTGATAGGGCCTGCGTCGCCTGGAAGTAAACATAAGCTTTCGCTGGACGAGATTGGTAGTTGAGCTTGTCGGAGCCGCCGCTGTGGATCTTCTACCAGACAGATTGGACTGTTTATTCGAGTAAATTTTCCATAATCCATCCCATCATGCTGGTAAGCTGACGGGCTTCAGGATGAGACAGAAAGTCCCCGGGACTGTTTCCTCCAAAGGACACAACGTTATCTGGGCTGATCACAGTTGGCTGCCTCGAGATTAAGGTGCTGATATGCCATGATGCCATGACAGCGTCTGCCTAGCGTGACCCAAATGAGTGGCACTGGGTTTGCCAACGCGACGTGAGATGTAGCTTGTGTAAAGCGCGACTCGATATCATGGGTGCAAAGCGTCCAGTAAGATGAGAGTAATTGCGGGAAAAGCTGCAAGGCGAGCGTAACTACGCTTCGTCATGGACTTAGACACAGATTTCGCGACGCCGAGATTGAGCTCTGCCTTCCAAGGCAGCAATGATTCTTAAGGATCTGGACTCGAATGCCGGCTTCAGATCCATACACCCTCCAGTAAGGAAATTTGGCTTCACTTGAAGGATCGATCTTGTCGTCATGGTCGTATATCCGTTCTGGGCAATTCCGGTCACGCAGGCTGCATGCGATTCCAAATTGACGTCGCAAGCTCTCAGCAGTTGGCGGCGATGCTCATAAGCTCATGGCGCAGCAAGCAATTGGATTTTGTTCGCGTTGGATTTATTGAAAGTTGATCCTTCTTGTGTGAGGTCCCGTTAGAGTAAAGCCTTCAGGCTGCGTGACATGGCTGATCTGAGGGCGGGTCAAGGCTTTCGAGGCTTGTGACAATATCTTGGGTGGTAAAGTTCGCAGGCATGTTAAAGCTTGAGACTGTGATGGCCGTCATCTGAAAACCAGATGGACAAGCGCAAT